AACTTTTTAATATTCTTTCAAAAATATGAACACAGCAACTATGTCATACTCTAGTATTGGTTGCATTAATGCTTTACAAAGGGAAATTTCCCATTCTTATTTATTTATATTTCTCTCCCATTCTTACTATTATCCTCTTATATCAAGAATCCTGTTAGCTCCTTTCTCTACAGAATTAAACTGGGAGTCCAAGTTGAGCCACTTCTCCGTTTTGATTCCGAAATTTTTGTAGAGCCGCTGCTAAAATTCCATCATTCTGTAGAAATATCTGGCATTCTTTGTTCCAAAGTGTGTTAAGCCTACATTGAGAAAAAATAATATTTAAATGGACAAGCTATCCAGACTGCTTTGTGCTTCCCTGAGCATATTGATATCACCGATCAAACCGCATTTTGCATCATCTGGAAATCCTGTCAGCAACATTAATATTTATTTCCAAATGATTGCAGAAGATGTTGAATAGAAAGTGCCTGCTGTCGATTCCGGAGCACATCCCATTTGATGATGATTTTCTGTGGCCAGCTACTTTCAGAGAAGTCTCTGCTAGCCRTTTAACAGGTTGTGCTGACAATGTACAATGCCACTTTTGTACACGGAGTAGGATGCGGCATAAAATAAAATCCAGAATACAGCATATTTCCTACTTCTATGCTGCCATCTGATCTCATTACTTTTAAAAAGAGAAGGAAGTTTACTTTTGATGGCAAATTCCACAAACTCTGTATTGACTTTAGAAATTCTAGCCATATTTTCTGAAATCACAGGTGGTTGCAAGTCCCCACATTGAGGAACAAAAAGGAGATGGATTTTCTAAGAGACAATATGCAATAGAATTTGAATACAAAGGACAACAAGCCAATAGATTTCAATAGAAATCAATAGGCATTTATCCACTGAATAACAACAGCTTGCTATCTGCCACGAAGCCCACGCTTCCTGGGGAGCCCAGCTCAAGGGCTGCTGTTTTGATAGGGAAAAAAAATCCATCAATCAGGTTAAACTTACTATGAACTGGTACTACAAATGTCAAAGACTATTTCTTTTACAAAACTTAAGCACGAATTTGTTTTCTGAAGTGGATTCCTTCCACCTTAACTTTCAAACTTGGCCTTGGTGCTTGCTCTGGGAAGACTCTTGCTGACATAAATAACATTTTTTCTTCAGTATATAAATGGCTACTTGGTCTTTGCTATTCTAGATTTACAGACAGGCAGGAGAAGAGTAAGCATTTGAGTCCACAGAACAATAAGAACAGGCTGAGCAAAGGGTGTCAGATGGAGAAGAAGAGAATGAAACAAAAGACGAGTTGTGAGGGATACGTTTAAATTTGACTGATGACAGACACTGCACTTATAGACACTAGTTTCGTTTGTTGTTGATACAACTGAACATTTCTTTAATAAATAGATTTGGTTTTGGTAATGTCATCAGTAAAATAGTAACAGTGACATATCATCACTTTAATCAGAACAACAGAAAAAGAGGACTAAGCCCCTGTGCAGTTGTATATCTTCTTGTTTCTGAATCTGTTTCTGAATGATAACCACTAAAATATTTTAATATAAAAATTCAATGAGCTGGAGTTGACTAGTAAGCCAATGTTAGCTGATTTGTAGAGAGGGAATAAAATCAATAAATGTGCCATTTAAAGGTGTTTTAGGAGACCAGAAATCAGTAGGTATGTGGATATTCTTACAACCTGTGGTTATTTCAAGCTTGCACACCAGCCATGGCATTATCAAATGTCCTCAAAGGAGAACACTGATACACAGCGAAAGATTTTTTAAGAAAAAAAAATATCTATTCTGGAGCAAAGATTTTGAAATAAGGCTAGCTGCAACCTTCTGCCCAAGTAGCATGTCCAGCAGGAGTTTCAGAAATCCTTGAAGAGCAAGGCTTAAACTAGAAGTGAGAAAAAAACGCTTTGTTCCAACAGATGCATCTAAACACAATTGCTTGGTCCAGTGAGTGCCAGCAGTAYCGGTTCTGCATCAACTTTCCAGTTAGACATGGTCTCTCTTTTGAGAGACACGTTCAGACTGATGACCAGCATGGGTCCATGTGCAACTAAACTCTTGGAATAACCCTTTTTGTATCTATATTGCATGTCAGTGTTATCTGGCATCTGATTCCTCCACTGATTAGTGCTGATCCTAGGCTGACCAGGAAGGTAAGAACAGATTCAGGGCACCCAGCTCATAATCATCTCTGTAAAACCAATGTATTGTCTGTAGCAGTTGGCAACTACTCTATGATTCGTGCATTGCCACAAGAATAAGTCAAATTTACCACAAGGACTATTTTGATGACCTTCAGATGTCATGCTTGGAGCTTATATGGGACAAGAAAAAATAGTGTGGGGAAGACAAGCAGCAAGGCCCTTGCAGGACAAGGCCCAGGCCCAACAAGGCCCTGCAGCAAGTGTAGCGCCGTATCCAAAAAAACCCACCATCACTGGGCTTTCCTACAAATGCTGAAGTCTCTTACTACTGATTGACTGGAAAGAGGAAACAATATTTTAACTTGGGATCACAGGTTCCTCTGGATTTTCACAGGCTGCTAAAATGAAGTTAAGAACACATGCAGAAGGACAAGTGATATTAAAAATCTGGAGCCAAGCCTGATTCTAGAAAGATGTTACTGCAGATCACCGCCTCTCCATCTTCCCCTTTGGCTAGTCTCAGAACAGCACTTTCCACATCCTGGCAGATGCATCATATAGTCCCCAGTCTCATTAACAGAGTCACTGGGGTTTAGCTCCTGCTTCTCGGGGCCAATTSTATTTGGGTCCCTGAAGTGTAGCATAGACCCGCTCTTGAGGACGTTGTCGCAGAGGACTTTCACTTCCCTCTTTCATTTCAACCATGCCTGTGAGGATGGGGGGCCCCAGTAGGCTACTGAAATCCTTGATCAGATGATGAAGGACCCTGTGTTGCTGTTCCTAGTGATAGAGAATGTATAGAGAGGGGGGTCAGAGCTCCTGCTGCGCTTGCCTCATGTCCTCAGAAGCAGAGGTGGCCCCTGGCACCCTGTGGTGCTTGGTAAGGGCAGCCAGGGCCAGCAGTGGGGCAGCAAATGGCAAGATGCTGCTTGAAGGTACTGCAGAGCTCCACGGCTAGAGGTGTCTCCTGCCCAGCAATGCCACCAGGGTCACTCCACTCACTGATTTGCCAGGTCTAGAAAAATCTGAAGATCCAGYTTGCAAAACAAACTCCATGTGAAATTCCTTCCACGAGGAGCAGTGGGATCCATTTGGGCACTAATTCAGTTTAGGAGGGGGTTGAGATGCTGTTTTGCATGAACTGCTCGGTAGGGATTGCGTATCTCGCTGCCATGTTGCTTTCTTCAAGAAAGATCTTTTGGTATCTCCTCACCTTTATGGACTCAGACTTGATCTGCTCATCTTACCCCAAGCCATGATGACATATATATCGAGGCAATTTGAATGATCCTGAACACTCGGTCAACTCAGTTATAACAAAGCTGTTGCAACCTTCGATGTTTCAGCACTTAATTCTTGGTGCGCGACAATAGGACTCTAGCAGAATTTCCCAAACCCCCAACATATTGGCCAAAATCCATTGGCAATTAGGGAGCGACACACTTTCCACACGCTCTGAGACCCTGGCTCCCGGGAAGGACTCAATAGGAAAGGCAGGGTCCCCATCACGGTCATCCCATCAGAATGAGTTGACCAGGAAGGAGCAGCAGCCTCTGCCATGAGGGCGACGGGGCTGGGCCRTGTGCGCTGCACTGCCAGCGTCGCGCTGGGCCTTGCTTATTGCGACTGCTGCTTCTTGTTCCTTTTTTTTATTACTATTATTATTATTTATTTTTTATGTATTTCAACAAGCAGCCAACAGTCAGGATGCACTTCCTAGCCTGAATTATATATCACCCTAAATTTTATATATGTATACAGATGTACATATGTATACACACATATATGCATACACACATGTGTACCTAGATGCACATATATGTATATATTCTTGCCTATATACATAGACGTGTGTATATATAGTCTGTATATAGGCACATGTATCTATATGCATATATATTCATATATTCATGCCCCTATATATGTATGTGTGTATATGTGTATGTGCATATATTTGTGTCGATATACATGTATGTGTATATGTGTATATGTGTATATGTGTATATGTGTGTGTACATACATGCATATATTCGTGTCTTTATACATGTATGTGTACATGTGCATTTATATACGTGCACATGTGTGTCTATATACATATGTGGGTAGATGTGCATGTGCACATATATGTATATATTCGTGTCTATATACACATGTGGGTAGATGTGTATGTGCACATATATGCGTATATTCATGTCTATATACATATGTGGGTAGATGTGTATGTGCACATATATGCATATATTCATGTCTATATACATTATGTGTGTACATGTGTATGTGCACATATATGCATATATTCATGTCTACATACATATGTGTGTACATGTGTATGTGCAGATATGTACATCTGTGTGTAGATGTGTACGTGCACATACATGCATATATCCGTGTCTATACGTTGCACACATGCAGATGGCAGGGACGGGGCTGGGGGCCAAACCCTGGCCGCCATGGGCACGGATAAGGGCCGAGCCGGGCCGGGCCGGGCTGGACGCGGGCTCCGGGCTGGGCTGCGGTCCGGTCC